CCCCGCCCACCGCGCTCCCCCTGCCCACGGTGCTCTGCAACTCACCTTCATGAGCTCAAAAAACTCAGTGGGGGCGGAGAGCACCCTGACGTGGGAGCTGCAGATGCCGAACTCCGGGACCAGGTTTCGGATCCACTGGAACCGGTGCACGCCCTCCGGGCACAGGCAGCAGGGCGGGGAGGTGACCTGGGGGGCAGTTGGGGACAGCAAAGGAGCCAACAGCAGCCATGGGGACCTGGTGAGAGACACAGAGGGTCAAGCTTCGCAGACGCATCCTCAACGTCGCTCCCCGCTACTGGGGAGAGGGAGAGAGGGGTCTTTATTTTATTGCCAATTTTGGATTTTCTAGGCCATTTTAAGTGGCCCACTCACACTCCCCACATAGGTTTTCCCTTCGGCCCCTCCGAGCTGAGTGGCTTGACAAGTGCCGACGCCTGTGGACAACCCCACCTTCGCGTGGATCCCACGCGCCTCCAGACTTAGCGCTCCCAGCAGCTCCCGGAAGCCACTGCTGGCTACCCCCGCGGCCTGCGAGTGCCAGGGCTTCGCTGCACGAGCCCGCCCGCGGCAGGGCCCAGGAGACGGCGGGCTTTCACTTAGGGAAGGGACAGCAAAGCACAGGTCTCGCATACGCTTAACAGCAAGTGGAATAAAATATCCTCGAGGGTAGAAAAGTCTTCTCTCCAGCACTCGGGCAGGGAGAGGACAGCTGGAGCAGGAAGAGGCAGGTGAGGTCATCTCAAGAGGCGCCGGGTGACAGCACTGCCCTCCCTGCTGCACTGGTCTCCTTCGGGCCGTGTCGCCTCGGGGCTGCCCTGGGCCGACCACAGGGAGCTGCCCCCTGACCCACAGTCCCCCGAGGCGGTGACGGCAGGACGCTGCCCTGGGCCTGGAACACCTGTGGGCAGGGAGGGGCACGTGCACAAACCCTGCGGGAATTCCGCAAATCCTCCTCAGGAAAGTCCTCCTCAGCCTGTGACCTTGGAGCCCCGGCCCCAGAGGGACTGGGGGAAGGACCACGGATTCCAGGAAGGTGACCTCACGGCTTGCCTCATGACACCGCCGATCTTCCCATCTTCCCAGGGCTGGTGCACGGCCCCACGGCGCCAGGTGGCCCACAGCTGTGCTTCCCAGAAAGCCCCGTCTGCCCAGCCTCCTCAGCGCCAAGAAAACCTTAGTCAGCCGGGAAGACACTGCAGCCTGGGGGCGGGAGGCCTGGGGGCAGCTGTCCGTCCCCCGCGGCCGGCCTCAGGGCTGGTGACCCCACGTGCGCACAGGCGGGCATCAGCCTGCTGGGTTTCTCTAGCTCCCAGGCTCCCAGCAGCTTGCACATGAAGGCCGAGAAGCTAACAAGGGACTGTGGCCTCAGTTCCCCAAACTGCGGGCCGAACTCCTGCGGGGCGCAGGCCACCTTCTGGGGGAGCAGCGCTCCTCTGAGGGAGAGCCGCCCATCCGAAGCCTAACGGCCTGAAGTCTAAGGTTCCCTATTAAACAGTCTATCTGACCAGGGTCAACCTCCCTCCCCGTCCCACGGCACTTGTCAGGCTCGGACCATAAACCATAAAAAAAGACCCCGGCCCTGGCTGGTTTGGCTCAGTGGATAGAGTGTCGGACCGAGGGTCCCGGGTTCGATTCTGGTCAAGGGCAGGTACCTCGATTGCAGGCTCAACCTCTGTCTCGCTCTCTCTCCCCCCATCCCTTCCACGCTCTCTAAATATCAAAGGAAAAATACTCTCAGGTGAGGAGAAACAAACAAACAAAACAGAACAAAACAGAACAAAACAGAAAGACCGTCACCTGGCCCAGGCCACGCATCCTGCCTGCGGCCAGGCGGCTCCCCGGCTCCCAGAAAGGAAGGTGAGGAACCACCTCCTTGGCACAGGCCCTGGGAGAGGGAGAGCGCCAACCTGGGCCTCCAGCCAAGTCACCACGTGAGCACCGACGCGCACCCTGGAGGGCACAGGGCAGAGCCGGCACAGCCCCTGCCTCTCACAAACCTGGGCCTCCCAGGCTTACATACCTGGAATGATGGGAGAACAACACAAGAAAAAAATGCTAAAATAAATTAAATAAGATCAAAACATAGTCTGTTCGGGCTTCAAGGGACGCCCGAGCTCTGGGCTGTCCACACCCTGGCACCTGCCGGCCAATAGCTTTCAAACCTGGCACGGACGGGATGTGTGACCAGAGCTGGCCGAAGCCACCGTCGCCAGGAAAGCCCAGGGCTCCACGTGGGTGTGAGCCCACGGCCCCCGGTGTCCTGCTGGGAGAGGCCTCTGGCAGGCTCGGCAACGGCCGCCACCATGGGGTCCCTGCAGGGCAGCTCTGGCTGGGAACCGCCCGCCAGGGCCTCTGCCGGGATCCGCAGAGGCCTCCCCGTGGCTTCCTGCGGAATCTGTGCACCGGCGGGCTTGTCTGAGTCTGAGAGGAGCAGCAAAAGCCACTGGCTTTCGGGGTTCGCTGCGGAGGAGGCCCAGCCTCAGTGCAAGTCATCGCCCGCGAGGAAGGTGCCGGGGAGGGGCTCAGTGTCCTCGGGGGCAGCGCAGGGGCAGCGCAGGCTGGGACGGCCACGCCCCGCTGCCTCGGGAGGTGGGGGCACAAGCAGCCCCCATCTGAGCGCCCACGGCTGGCTCCCCCAGAGCCCGCTCAGTGACCCATCCGTTTCCTTCCAGCTCAACCAGATGCCTTGGCCGTTAGTTCCCGCTCTCCACCAGGGAGCCCCGGGGAATTTTCTCAGAAGGTCTCCCCTGCACAGCAGCCTCCTGCAGTCTCCCTGTGCCCCAGGGGCCGAGCACCTGCGCTGCCTTCCCCTCACCCAGGTCAGAAACCTCACCCCAGGGACCCAAGGGGGCAGGAAGCTGGCCGCACAGCCCCGTCACACTCACGTGTAGAAACCAAGTGTTTGACCTCCCCCCTGCCCCAACACACACACACACACACACACACACGATTCCCGCAACCAGGCCTGGGCTCCCCTGAGTTTCCCTTTCTCAGCACCTCGCTCCCTTCCTGGTTACAGGAGACGTGCCCACTCCGTGCGCGGGCGCATCAGGGGCGTTTAGA